TTTACACTCTGCTGTCGTTTTATGATTCAAGGCCGGTCTGGGTTTCAGACTGTTAGCTTATGCCCAGGGGCTGAATATATGAGTTAATGCACTGAAGACTTCACTTCTCCGCCAATTAACCCCCAAAACCACTGCAGCGTTTCCCTAAATCCACCCAAGACCCTTTTTTGTTCCCACTTCAAAAAGGCTAAGCTGGAAAGGAAAGGAGAAAAGGCTAACCAGTTAGCAAACATTGAAAAGGCTAAGAAAGGGGTTTAATCCCTATTAGGCTAAATTCAGCCTAAGTGTCCCCCAAAGATCCTTTCAAAGGGGACTTTCTTCAGGGAGTGCTAACTCCGACTGGGAGACGTTTGGGGCTGAACGCTGTGAGCCTTCAACCCCGCTCTCTCTGCGAGCTGAGTTTGTTTATTTTGCTTTAATTCTCTCACATCCACTGCAGCTTCTTGGTTGTGTTTATTTTTGACTTGGTAGTTTGTTTTACTTCCCTTGAGGCAAGTAGACCTTCACCTGTGACCAGAGATTTCATTTTGAATTAGATACACGGGTAAAGGGGCAGTCGATGGTGGAGGTTACTGCTGTGATGGGGGGTTTTCTGTTTTGCCCGATTTTTATTTTTGTGTTTTTGTTGATTTGAACCTTTAGTTGGATGCTCACTACGTCCAAAACTTTGTTTGTTTGTTTGTTTATTCCAAGGAAATCTGCCATAGCTGTTTATTTTTTAAAGGTTAGAATGAGCAGTTATTGATGGAGTTTTTTTTTTAAATTTTGGTTGCACATGCAAGACGTCATGCACATAGACAATGGTATTAAAAATGATTCCTGCCGAGCCACAGGGAGCAGATTATAGCTGCTGGAGTGTGAAGGCAGAGTCATGTGGCTGCTCCGTCCTAAGGTTACATGAGTTTAAGTTTGTGATTTAGTCAAATTAATCTTTTGTCAAGATATTCATGCTCGAAGAAATTTGCCTGTGAACGCGTGGCTTTATTTCTACTTCTTTCCAGTAGCTACGATACTCTCAATTCTCCCTTTTCCTTTTTTTTATTTTTGTTAAATCCTTTTTGGTTATCACTCAAACTCAAAAGCAAAATCTGCCTTAATTGGCTCCAGAGGGCTCAGGAAGGCTTTGTGTCAGCGGTGATGAAGCTCCTGATTGGTCCAGAGGCACAGCCAGCCAACAGACCCTCGTTAGTGTGTCGGGCTCCTTTGCTTGCTCGTTAGTCCGATGAACTCATTTACTGATGGAGAATGACAAGGCCTCAGTTACCGAGGTGGAAGGAGGATGGTGGGAGAAAAAGGATAAGAAATTAGAAGAGCAAAAAAGTATGATTATAGGAGAGATAAGCTGTAACACTTATGTTGATGCACCGGGCGAACGCTTAAATGTCAACGTTGTTTGTCTTCACTCTTTTTAAATTCTTTTGCAGCCGTTAAAGTGCAGTTAGTGTCTCCGTCTACTTAACTCCTCTTTTTTATTGTAGATTACCTGATTTTTGCTGTGAACTCAGTGACAAAAAGCGACTGTGCAAACGTAACTCATGCACGAGGTGTGAGTCGATAAGTTCTAAGACAAGTTGAATCAAAATCTATAGTTAACGAATAGCCAAGTTATTTTTCATCATAACCTCCATTCAAATCTGAAGAACTACAGGCTGCGTTGGAGAATTTCTTCTGTAGAATTCTCTAAGTTTTCATGCCCTGTCTAAGGATGTGAAACAAAAAAAAAAACATTTCAAAGCTTTAATAATTTTAACAGGTTTGTTAAAAAATCTGATTCCATAATAGTTCATTTTTTTTATGGATTGTAACTCAATTTAAATAAAAGTAACAATTGATAAAATAAGCTGTTTTAGATTTTAAAATCAGACAAAAATTTTCAATTACGCCATCTGTCATAAAACTTATTGACTCAATCACTACAAGAAAAAAACAAACTAAAACCATGTTTAGTTTATCAACGTTCATAGTCTACAGTCTCCAGTGTTTGCTTTTGCAATTACACATAAGAGTGTGAAGACTTGGCTGCTGAAAGGATTCTAAATAATAACCAGCGGTAACCAACCAACATGCTGATCCAGTCCACAGGTTTTTTTTTTTGTTTTTTGTTTTCTATGAATATTATCAAGTTCTCTCCCAACGTGCTTGTCGCTGCTCTGTGTTGATGTTGATGGATCACCTCTCTTCCTCCCGCTCATTAATTTCATCACCTTATCTCCCACACCACTTCATTTGACCAAAAGGTAATAATAAATCCCTCATCCATTATCCTTTAACTCAGGCAGCCATGCGGAAATACTTAATAACAGCCAACAAATTGAACTTCAATCACCTCATTTTACTTCAAGGATGCACAGCACATTACACTGAGGAAGCAATTACGCATGTACCGCTTATCTTACACTGGTTGTGTGCATTTTGGAGTGAAAAAACATATTTAAATTATTCTTATTGTGTTCCCAGTTTTAATGATTTTTTGACGACAAAAATTCAAGTTTGGGCCAAATTAGACTTTTCCGACCACAAACACACACCCTTCATTTACTGGCCTTTTCATTTATGTCATGACTGCTCATAGACATAATCCAGTTCCTAACCTCAACCATCCCATTTTTAAAAAGTCTCATCCTAATTCTTCCCCTTGTCCCTCCCATAGATCATATATAAAAACAGGGAAATGTTCCATCTGTCTGTTTAAATCATGTCAATTCTCCATGGATTTTTAACATCAAGTATCAGATGTGAGGTCTTCGTTGGGAGAACACAGTAGGTAGATGTAGAGATGGTAAATAGACGATGGGATGGAAGAAGCAGGAGAATGAATTTGACATGATGCTGTGTTTGATTGACAGCTGGATGGCCCAATTGAAACTCGACCTTGTGGTGCTGTTTGTGTCGATCTACTTATGGTTTGTGTCAGTGATGCTTGCTGTCATTCTGTGACTACTAAATAACCGTGATGTCAGACTAATCACCCTTTTTACCCTCCCAGTTTTATCCATCTTTTTTTTCCCCGCCAAATTGAATAATTGTAATTTACCATAAATGGAAAACCTTCATATTCATATAGTAAAGTGTGTATAGTAAATCTGAACCGTCACAGCAGAGGTGTGTAGAAGAGCTCGCCTCTGGTCCAGTTCATATATAGAGTCTATTATTTTATTCTACCCTAACACGATCGTTCCTTGTTGATGAAGGACACTTGTTTTAGTGAAGAAAAGAAGAGAGAGGTTTCATTGGCCGTGGTCTCTCTGTGAGATTTAGTGGTGACAGTTGTTGTGTACATGCGTGTATGTGTGTGTGTATGTGTGGTTACACATGGTAACCACCGTCGCTCGTCCCCTCTTCATGTGTCCCTCTTCATTCTCCAGCCTTTTGAGCGTCTGACAGAGACAAATGACAGTGCCTCAGAAATGAGCAGCAGACCGACGCACAAACAAGTTGAGGGTGGAGGCAAGTGAGATGGAGAGGAAGGGGTAAAAAAAAAAGCATTGCAATCAAGAGGTGTTCTTTTGTTTTGTGGTTGGCTCTGTCCTCCTGCGTAACGCTTCGGAATTGATCTTTGGTCAGACCGGTCCTTCACACCTCCATGGATTTTGTTCCACTTGAAAAGAAACATCAATAAAACTGTGCTTCATACCAGAGCAGCCATGTTGGTTTTTGATGTTTGCTTTGATGCACTTGACACTGATCCAATGCTGTCTGATTTGTCTTTCTGTGTTCTATCATGTGTGTTTGTCAAAAAGTGTTCTGGCAAAGATCATCACGTGAATCGACTCTTTTTCCATCGCTGCGTCTTTTACCACGGATGTTTTAAAATGCATCTCTGACAGCAACACATCACACCACAGATGTTCTTCATCCCTTCCTTTCCCTCAGATCCTCTCCCGACTTATCAGTAGTGTTTTGTTTTTCTTAATGGAATTTTCATCTGAAATGAAAATCCCAGTAATACAGATGCTCAGATGTCGTGTTTATGGTTCTTTCTGTTGGGCTTTTTGCTCAGGAGAGTCTGGAGACCGGTCCGGTCTTCTGCAGCTCCTGAGTCTGGTGGATTCACCCACAGCCAGCTTCTCTAGCCACTAATCCACATTTAATTGAACTCCAGAGACTTTGAAGTGAGTCTGTGATGCAGGCAGGTCGGTATTCCTCAGAGACACAGCGAGGCAGGGGCTGTCCCAAGCTAAAGGCCACAGCTGCTCCTCCACGCTGTCCTCCCGCTTTAATGAGCTCCTTTAACTTAACACGGAGGTTAGGTTACCGGCACGGATTTGAATATTTTTGATTAATAACTAAAACTCTGAAACCAGCCCTGTCATCACAGTGTCTCTCTTACCTCCCCCCCGTCAGTGGGGAGATGCCTTTAACATTAAAGGCAGAGGAGGAAACAATTGAGTAGTTATTACTGCGGTGCTAAATAGGTTAGCAGCAAAACTAAATGCTGGATTAGGAGGAGGAATAATGGGGGCAGTGCCGAGCGTCGGGGTCTGTCAGGCACGTCTGTGACAGACATCAGGACGTGTTACTCTGACAGACGCAGGAACAGATTAAATGTTCACTTCATCGAAGCATTTTTAAATGTGTGCTTCGTGACATCATATTCTTTGACCACAGTGACAGTTGTTCGGTCTATCCTCGTCACCGTCCTGCAGAGATGGTTGATCTTCTCTGTCTGTCCTGCTGTAATTTAGCGATATTTATCTTTCTCTCTCTGTGCTGAAATATGGATCGTCTTTTAGTGAACTGACCATTTCCTTCACTCATTCCGGATGAACGGCCCCCATTCTCCTGCTGCAAGAATCACTTTTTCATTGAGGCTGATCAATATAAGACATTAATCGTGCTGCTCAGGCCGTCATGTCGCCCCTCCTTGAAAAATGGAGCGGGCTAGCCTCCTGCTCAGTCGTCGTTTACCCCTTCCGTCCCATCTCTGATTTGCTTTGTCTTCAGTTCTTCTCTTGATTGCATTTTCATTTTTTTTTCTTTTTTTTTTTACTATCTTTCAGATTCTTACTTATACCGAAGTTCTGCACGGGAAATGGATCTTCACCGAGATCCGTGCCGTGTTTTCAAGGCGGTACCTGCTCCAGAACACGGCTCTGGAGATATTCATGGCCAACAGAAGTAAGAAAAAAAAAAGAGTTTCAACAGCATTCATTCATTAATCTGAGAGTTTTGTCATGAATAAAAACAAGAACAAATAGGGATGTGAAGCCAGTTGTGATAAAACGTGGTATTTTTTTTATATCTTCACAGCTGCAGTCATGTTTAACTTCCCTGATGCAGCCACTGTGAAGAAGGTTGTTCACAGTCTTCCTCGTGTTGGAGTCGGAACCAACTTTGGGCTTCCTCAGACCAGGTACACACACACCAGAGCCAGAAGCCCTCTCTGGGGCGGGCCCCTCACCTTGGGAACCACTGAGTTAATCATACATATCGTCCCTAAAACTCACCCCCTCTCTCCTCACCCCCTCTCTCCTCACCCCCTCTCTCCTCACCTTCATAATTCCCTCCAAACCAACACAGTTCAGTTCATTTATTTATTTCCATCAGAGGGAGGGTAGAAGCTAATAGTTGTTGTAAGCCTGGAGGCCTCACCTCCTTCACCTCCTCCCACCTCCACCTCCCTTTATACCTGCTCAGAACCTCAGTGTGTAGAACCCAAGAGATTTTTTTCAAGAATGCACAAAAAAATGTTTTATGGATTATATAAAATATTAATGTTACTGTTACATTAATTTGACATGTATTTAAAATGATATCCTAGATACTTTTATTTTCATTTTACAACTTTAATGCAATATAATATGATGTCTTATAAAAGCAGCAATTTGTAGTAAATCTGCAATAATCAGGAAGATGTCGTTTCTGGACAAAATGATCAGCAGAAAAAAAAAAAGGACAAAAAAAAAAAAGACACATGGGAGAAACCACCCCAGTGCGGCAGGTGTAATTAGTAAAAGGTGCATCCAGTAATGAGTCAGTGGGTGTGTGGTTTAAGGTGAAGTAGCGTATGTGTGTGTTGGTGTTTGGCTCATTAATCAACCTGGTTTACAGGCTGGGGACACCTTGGCTCTTTGACCTGAGGACAGCTGTATAGGCCTAGTACACACACACACACACTCAAGAAGCCTTAAAACTACAATTAAAAAGTTGTCTGTCACATACAATATTTTAAAAATAAAAACCGACTTTGATTTCCAGACCATATTTATAATTATAAGCTGCTTCATTAAAAATATAGAGTGAAACTTTTAAGGTGATTTTCAGTGCGACTGTGAGACAGAGTCATATTTTCACCTTTCATGGACCTTAACGACTGTAATCTCACACACTGACAGTGATTAATTTGATCATTTTCTTTTGTTTTAATTGGAACAGGAGTCATTTGTTTTTGTCCAATAACATGCATCACATTCAAAGGCCTCGGAGGGCAGAACACTAATGCTCTCCCCAATTTAATACACATTTGTCTTGTTAATTAGCAATGTTGTAACCTCAAAAAAAAAATTGTCATTTTAATGTCATCCATATGACTGAGCTCCTTTTTTCTCCAGGCCAGTTCTTATACTGGTGATAATACACACGTGAGGTCAAAGTAACAGGGTCATCTCATCTGCCGAGACCCTCACCACCAACACTGGAAACTTTTCTATGGCCTAAAAGTTTAGGTTTTTTAAATTTTTTATGATATTACAATTATGTATTTCTTACACAATTAATATAATATATAATAAAAGTGTAAAATAGGAGTTTTTTTAGTTTATGAATGACTTCTTGGTTTCAACTTTCACTCAAATATTTGAGAGTTAGAAACATTTTGATAGTGTTTTATATTCTTCCTCTGCAGTTTTTTGTCCCCCCCTACAGGTCATAAGTCTATATTCACTGTGTGTCCACAGGCGAATCACCTTGGCCACACCAAAGCAGCTTTTCAAAGCATCCAACATGACTCAGCGTTGGCAGCGTCGGGAAATCTCCAACTTTGAGTACCTCATGTTTCTCAACACGATCTCTGGTGAGGACCACGTCCACACACTTCACCTGGACAACGCATCAGTGCAGCGTTTATACAGAGCTTACATTTACAGATGGCACACTGATTTGATTTGAAAGCAACGCTGTGTGGTGTTCTATAAGCCAAGCCGTCAAGATGCACAGAAATGACTAAACAAATTAACCAACTTCATGATGAAAAAATGTTGATTTATCGTGATTAATCCACAGCTATCCTGCGATCAGTCAGATATGGCAGCCTTAAAGGACAATAAATTTTAAAATAATTTAAATTTTAAATTTTCTTAGTGAAGGTAACTGAAATTTTTAAAAATCTCATTCTTCAGGTCGAACTTTCAACGACCTAAACCAGTACCCAGTCTTCCCGTGGGTCATCACCAACTACGACTCAGAAGAACTCGACCTGACTCTGCCCAGCAACTTCAGGGATCTGTCCAAGGTAAGACAGTGGACGCACTCCTCTGCTGACCCAAGAAAACGGGGCAATTAAGATGCCTGGTTTGACTTGTGTGCACGCACATCTGTGTGCAGTTCCGACTCCTGTTTTTTGTCCACAGTTGAAAGTTCTTGATTAATCCTTTAAAATCTGACCTTCTGCAACGCTGCAGGAAATAAACGTATCCTCCCTGGTAGCTGCAGGCTTCAATTTATTGGGCTAAAAACAATGAAAGCTTCCATTAAACGCTCCCTGACACATAAATATACACACCCACACTGATAAACTGCCTCTAAAGGTGGCTCCTCCTGGATTTATTCTTGTAAACTCCCACCTTCGTACATTCACGGGGGCTAAAAAACTATCAGCGGAAAGCTCGCCCAGCTCCCCGCCGGACTGACGATCAGTTGTGCATAATGTTGTCCAGTAGTGGGAGGACAGAGGATTAGTGTAAGAGTGAGATGATTGAGTGACTGTCCCAGAGCTGGAACCAAAGTAACTGGATAAATCAAACAGGAAGCAAAAAATAAAAAATAAATGTCTGCATTAATGGAGAGGAGACGTGTCGGAGGAAACGCATTATCAGAGGTTCACTTCAACAGACGTCCATCTCAGTGTCTGCTCCAAGTTAAACTGAGTTGGACTGACTTTAAACACAGTTAGATTTGCATTAAAGACAAACAGAAGGCCATTATAAAGTTTATGTTTGTTGCAGAGGGACAATAAAATATATGAAGGATTTGCTTGTTGCTGTTATATAATATGGGATTTTATGGTGTTTTATTTTTTAATTTGTAAGACCATGTCTTGTAGTATATTCATGGCAGATTTTAACTTTGTTGCTGAACAGATTTTTTTATATATTTCAGTTGATTTATGTCTTTTAGCTTAATTACTGCACGTTTCATTTAGGGTAAATCTTTATATAATTCCTTTTTTTGACTGACTTAATTGAAGTTTTTTTTGCTTAATGTAATATTGTTTTACTTGATGGCACAATTACATTTTGTCAAATGTAGCCAATACAAAGTAAACCTCAAAAAATAACATGCTAATGTGGATGACATTTGAGGAGGATACTTTTCTGACACTCAGCTGATGTCATGCTGTGTTTTTGTCTTTTCTTGACTTTAAATTATCGTCCACTGCTTCAGTTTTTGCTGCCAAAAAAACAGGCTTTTACTGGTAAATTCACTAGAAAAACAAATCCCCTAAAAATCTCTGGTGTGTAAACTTCTGACCCAGCTTTTTTCACTTTATGTTTAAACCATAACAAAACTCAGTAAAGGCAGAGACAAATATTCTGACCCAGCTTTTCACAAAACTCAGTAAAGGCAGAGACAAATATGATGATCCAATCAACGACAAGACGTTGAAACGCACTCGTACTTGAACCCTCATTTTACAGGTCTTTTCTTTCACTCCTCCAACAGTCGACACCTTGTTCTCCTCCGTTCTTCCTTCACTCCTCAGCTGCTCCTCCGTGTCCCTCCCAGGTTTTTATCCCTCCCAGCGTAGCCCTCCCCTCAGTATGAGGCCATATAATTACTCTGTTTATCTGCCCTCATGTTGCCCAGTAGACCCAAGTGCTACACTTGTACTTGCCCCACCAGCACACACACTTAGACGCAAACAGCCAGCCCTCCCTCGGTTTGCCTCCTGCTCCTCTCCTCCTCGGCTCAGTCGAGCCTTTCAGCCCCCGGGGCCAAAACACGGAGGGGGGAGATGGACAGAGAGAGACAATCAGTGCGAGAGAGAGAAGAGGAGAAAAACAACAACACTGTTTGATCTCCTCGTTCTCCTCCGCAGAGAGAGAGAGACATAACGAAAGAGAGGGAGAGAGGGAGTGGGTCTGATTTTATTATATCTGTTTTATTCATGCTGCTGACACGTGTATGACTGCTGGACCGTGGCAGAATGCAGTGTCTGGAAAAGGGCAAGCAGGATTGTGCGCCCCTCCCCGCACCGCTTCCTCCTCCCCAATCAACCTCCCCTCTCCCTTTAACTCCCCCACCCGCAGTCGTTTGTATCCCGTTTCTTTTCTTTGCGTCTTGATGTTTTCTGACCTTCACAGTTCCATCGCCCACCGACTCACTCCTGTTTGGTTTCCTCTTCACCTCCTCCATCCTGGCACTCACTGCACATGTCTATTGTTCCAGTCTTATGACAACACTGGTGCTTGTCTATTATAGAAACAGGTCATCTGGGAAGCCTCCAGTGACATTGTGAAGCCAAATTGCCATGAATGTCCCCTCTGTGTGTGTGTGAGTGTGTACACGTGTGTGTGTCACACTGTCATCATTCCCAGAACAAGAGGCCACAGTGAATTTATGTCCCCTCCTGGCAGAGCCGTTCTGACCCCGGGGACTTTCTTATCATAAACTCTAACCTCAACCTGACATCAAACGTCCGACCAGGAGATAACGCTGTAGTCACCGTGAGCCCACGCTGGTCGTCCTCACTCTACATACGTGACTTTTTTAAGTCTCCACCTGTACCGACACCTCAGTTCTGTCAAATTGATTGTTTCCTTCAATTAAAGGCACCTCCGTCTTCGTTCTTGTTGTGACGGAGCAACAGCAACAATTAAAAGAGCGGCCGTCGCTCTGACCGGAGATTAGCTTGTTTGCATTCACATAACCACAGAAATAGTGAGGATTTATTGAGCTCTCCTCGTACCTTTGCGCTATAACCCACTACTCACCAGCCAGATCGGCTAATGGTGTATTGATTTCACCATACGTGCCCCATATGTTTATCCCCCAGGCCTCCTGCACTGTTTTCACTGTTTAAATAGGACATTATACATAAACAGTCCTTTGAAAAGCCTCTTTTGATTTATGGCTCAAAGCCCTGGTGATGCTCAAATTGTAGCTGTGCTATTACACTTCATCACAGACCGCCCATTATTGTTGTAAAAGCAAAGTAGCACTGGGTAATGTTCCTATAATAGTCCTCAGGAAAGTTCATTTCATTCCTTAGGGTGGTTGTTTATATACCCAGGGGTTTACGTATCCAGGAAAACATTCTTATTTTTTCACGTACTTGTATCCGCAAATGAAGGATAATTGGCAAAGAACGCGGGTACCATCCTTCATCCTCAGCGAATGTGTCATTACGGGTTGATATGCCTGCACCTGCTGTTCATGAGGGGGAACTGAAAAAGTTCCAGGACATATTACATGAATATAATTTTGTGGAAAAACAAATCTGCGTCTCTATTTATCATCTATTTACTGTAAGTCTAAACCAGAGAACTCGTCGCTTCTTTTTTTTTTTTCCTCGTCTGAGGACCGAAATCCTTCGTCAAAGATTGTGTTTGCTCTGATCTGATTAAAAAGGCAATTTCGTTGTCAAAGATTTCGTTTGCTCTGATCTGATTAAAAAGGCAACAGCTCCAACTCTTGACAAATCTGTTCAAAAGCCTGAGAGACTCTAAGAAAGATTTCAGCTACTCAAGTATCCACGGACGTTTTTGTCTGATTTCATGAGTCATTTTTTCCTACAGCTTTTTAAGGGAAAAACACATTTTGATTGGAGTGTAAGATGAAGAATCCAACCTGAGTCTAGTCGTGGGTTGACGTTCTTTTCGTGCCCACTCTTCCCGGGCACATCTGATAAAGTTACTTGTTTTAATGTATCAGTAGATTTTAAAACTGTTCAGTCCACTCACTAATGAAATGATTCCTTTTGACCTTTTGTCTAAATTTACAACAATTACTATTAATTACTCTGACAAAAATCCAGTGTGTGTTTCATTTGCGGGCAGTTCTTTCCCCTCTTTTATCTTTGTCCTTACAGTAGCCTTTAATAGCTTTTTCAAACCATAGATTTCCCTGCTCTTGGACGACTGTTAAAAACGAACCCCAGATTAAATCTCCAATGTTTATTCCATCAAAGTGGCAGCACAGTTTCGCTCTGCAGCCTTCTCTGTAGTCTAATTAAAACTATGAGATTGGTTCATTTATCTGAGAGCTCATCAGTGAGCTATTCTCCGCCACAACATATTAGGCCAATCTCCGGTGGGGCGGCGGCGGCGGCGGCAGCAGCAGCAGCAGGTGTTCCATCAGCACGGAGCCAGGCGCTGGGCTCGGCTCTTCTCTGATGTACGGTGCCGTCATCGCTGATCTGTTGTAGCTACTGTAAGATGAGACCGCCGGCCTCACAGTAATTTACAGCTGTAAACAACGCAGGCACACGCAGAAAAACCAGCGGCTCTCACGTGCACTCACGTGGACTCACGTGCACAGTCCTCATTCTCTCTCTGTCACCGTGGCACTTTATTCGCCCTGTCTCCCCTTTCTTTTTTTTTAATGAGCTGATTGTTATTAGAGCTATAAATCAGACAAATGAGTGTGATGTATAATTCACTCTGTGTACCCACCCACCCCCAGTGGCCGTGTGGAAGCCCACAGTGTATCACTGTCAGCACGGAGCTGCATAGTGTTTGTGATGCAAGGCTGGTTTTTCTTCTTTTTTTTTTCTTGTTTTGTTTTTACACCAACTCAGAGACCTGGTTTACAAACGGAAACAAAAAAACCCACCCTTCCTGCTACACCAACCTGGTTTTTCATACACCAGCCTTTGGTGCTGCATTCCTTTAAGGCACACGTACACGTTGACCAGCCCGCTCCATTACACTCACATGAAACAGAAGCTATATCGCGGATCAATATGAAACTCTGACCCTGGAAGAGTCTTGTTGTGACAGGCACCCAATAATATGAAAGAGATCCAATTGATCCACGTCCTACAGAGCCCTCATCGTCAAAAGGCCATCATTCCATTACTATTGATCTGCTCGTGTGCTTCTATAGGTTTATTTGTGGGTGCCGGATGAGGAAGGGGAGGGGGAGGTGGAGGAGGGAGAAGGGGGGGGGGCACAGTGAGCAGAGGACTAATAAAAATTGAACCAGCCCGAGAGTGATTTCTATAAATGAGTGTCTGAATAATAGCCGGGTAGCAAAGGGTTATTGGTTTTTTCAAGAGTGATGGAAAATTAATGCAACTTAACCATTTTTTACTGGACTATAAAAAGGCCTGGAGACCAGTGTATTAGTTACGGATTAATAAAAGCAAGAAATTAAAGAAATCCACAGCCCTGTTATTGATATTGGTGGTGGGGGCTCTTTCATTGAAGCATATTAGTTTCCTCTGACAGGTTACAGCTGCGGGGGCTCTGTTTCACGGCCTCTAAAAAGCACTCTGGGTGAGGATTGATTTCTGTCTGAAGGGAAACATCATCTAATATTCATTTGTGATTGCACAAAGGTTACCAGCTTTGTTCTCCGTGCTGCAGTTTTGCTGCCAATAGTGGTCTTTGAATATAGCCACAATAAAATGCAGGATGAACTCTTTGTCCTGTTTTTTTTTGCTTTGAAAAATTAAAAACATATTTCTCTCCACAGCCTATCGGTGCTCTGAATCCCAAGAGGGCGGCGTTCTTTTCTGACCGATATGAGTCATGGGAGGACGACCAGGTTCCTAAGTTCCACTACGGCACCCACTACTCCACCGCCAGCTTCACGATGATGTGGTTGATACGCGTTGTAAGTGATCACAGCTTAAAGTTACACAGTGAAGGAATGATTTTTCTGTATCATCCAAAGTTAACAAAAAGTATAACACAATTCTGCCACAATTTATTATAATCAAAAATATTTTTTTATTTAAGGCTGTCAAAATAACACGTTATCCATAATAATTAATTTACATGATGGATTACATTTATTCAGCTTTTTTTTTTTTTAAATACAGGCCCACTTTTTATATCCAATAATTCAATCATCCATCCATTAAATCAGGGGTCTCAAACTCAATTTACCTGGGGGCCGCTGGAGGCAGAGTCTGGGTGAGGGTGGGCCGCGTAAGGGATTCCACAATAAAGTTTTTTTT